ATTTCTCAAAGCCATAAAAACTCCCTTCAACAGTGTTCTCACTAGCTGTGTAGTATGTTCTGAAAGATTGCTAACTACTTCCTTCAGAAGGGAAGAAGCCAGTGAGTGACAGGGCAGCTGTCCTCAGGTCCCTGTGGCACTCTGCAGTGCTGGAGACTCAATCCAACTTCAAAAGGACCCTCGTGCTGGTCCCCTCCGCCCCGCCCCTTCCTGCATTCCCCAGAACACTTCCAAACTTGGCTCATACCCCTCCTTTCTTCTCTTCCCTGGGCCCAGAGGGCTGCATTAGGCTGTGCTTCAGGTCAGCAGGTCTGAATCTTGATACTAACCTGGGAAATTCATGTATAAATTGGGATCCTTACCCCCCAGAGTTCTTATAAAGCCTAAATATCATTACACTTGGGTTTTTTTTGTTTTTTGTTTTTTTTGGTACTAGGAATTAAACTCACAACCTTGTGCTTGCTAGGCAGGTGCTGACTGCTGAGCTATAATCCCCAGCCCTGTCATTACATTTGTAAAACAGTTTGCACCTAATGACACTTTTCACTCAAGACCTTACGGGGGGGGGGGGGGGATTATAAATCATTTCCTATTGGCCAACTTGCTGAATAAAAGGAAACGTTCTGGACATTTTAACGCAGCTAAACTGGTAATAATGAGCACATTTGTAAAACATTTGGCACATAAATGACATCAAACAAAATTCTTAAAACTCCCACGTGGCTCTAGCCTTCTCTTTCCCCATTATTAAGACCTGGTGTGCGCCAGGCAGGCGTTTATGCCGCTGAGCTAAATCCCCATCCCTTCTTTCCCTGTTCTCCAGCTGTGTTTCTCAGAAATGACAAGTACTTGCTGTCTCTATTTGTTGACTCCTGAATATTACAACCCATGGCCAGCTGCCCTCCATTAGTCCTGCTCATCAATTCTGTCCTAGTAAACTCTTCGTGCATCCCCTAATCCTGTTACTCAATGAGTTTCTCCTTTAAACTTCTCTCTTGGTGCCCATGTGTAATTAATTCCCCCATTTCCCTAATTTTCACATTGCTCCACGCTACTCTTGGTCCTTGAAATAGAATTTGTCTTCAGTTTTCATGCTAGGAGCAGCCTAATTCTTTCCAGTAAGATCTCAGGAGAAATTCTGGTTTGGTTCTCAATAACCTGAGTTTCTATAACCCAGCAATTGAATCCCCTTGAGCCTCCTTCGTCTCCCCTCACAGATTTCCTCTCCTAGATAATGATCCTAAATCAAGTCATTTTATATTGAACCTGTATTTGGCATTGGCATGATGGATGGGTAAGCAGAAATTGAAAATCCAGCCATGAATCAGCTCAATAGCCTAAGAATGTCAGAACTCAAAACATACATGCTCTTCAAAATTTTTATTTACGACACAAAGGGAAACATGTGCTACGATAGTTTGTCCTTTGAGGTATTTTTCTTCAAGTGGTAGACCGGCCAAAGTTTCTGAAGACTCTTGGTTGAATGCAGTTTGGACAGAGCATACTGTCTTCTGGAATATCTTCCCAGGGCATACATAGATATTTTTTCCTTTTGAGACCTCTGAACTGTATTAAAAAGTAGGGACATCTGCCACAAAGGAGAAAAAAAAAAAAAGTTCAATGATGTTCATGCAGGTGCCTCGCAGTTTTTGGAAGCGAAAGGTTGGGAGACAACTTCAATGTCTTTCTTGCTCTTCCACTTTTATAAAATTCTACTTGGCTGAGCTCTGAGATACTTCCCTAAATAAAACTAAGTTTGCAAGAGTAACTTCTAGGGATGGGGATTTAGCTCAGTGGCATAAGCACCTGCCTTGCAAGTGTGTGGTCTTGAGTTCAATCCCTGGTACCAATTTAAAAAAAAAAGAGTAACTTCTAGATTTAGTCACTCTGCAATATCAGTTTTTGGTGTTATATAATTAAAAGGTTTCAGCTTAAGAAACACTAAATGAAGCAATTTCTTTCAAATTTCTAGTTCCAGGTTTGTTTCACAATATCCAAAACATTTCTAAAATGTTTGATCTACCCTTTGTTGACTGCTTTAAATGACTTCAAGATGTTCATTAATGGGGCTGGGGATTTAGCTCAGCGACATAAGCGCCTGCCTTGCGAGTGTGTGGTTGTGAGTTCGATCCCCGGAACCAATTTAAAAAAAAAGAAAAAGACAAAAAAAAGAAAAGTTCACTTAAAAAAAAAAAAAAAAAAAAAAAAAAAAGCTGGGCATGGTGAGGATGCTTGTAAGGCCTGGAGGCTGAAACAGGATTGCGAGTTTGAGGCCAGCTTGGGCAATTTAGTGAGACTTTTCCTCAAAATAAAACTGGGAGCCAAACAGTGGCACATGACTGTAATCCTGTATTAACCCTTTGGGAGGTTAAGGTAGGAAGTTTACAAGTTCAAGCCCAGCCTGGGCAATTTATGGAGACCCTATCTAAAAATAAAATAGGGGCTGGGGATTTAGCTCAGCAGCATAAACGCCTGTCTTGCAAACAGGCAGTCGTGAGTTCGATCCCCGGTACCGATAAAAAGGAAAAAGACAAAAAAATAAAAAATAAAAATAAAAAATGGCTAGCGATATAGCTCAATGCAAAGGCTTTAGGCTCAATACCCTGTATTTTAAAAAATTTCTCAAAAAGGCCTTAAAGATGAAGGAATTTATTTCACTGATCAGCTAAAGTTAGGGAGATGAATTTGGGAGGAGGAAAAACTGGTGCCAGAATACTGCTGTTGAATTAGGAGACAAACGGTGTGTCAGTCCATGGCTACAATTCCAGCACTAGAGGAAGCTGAAGCAGGAAGATTACAAGTTTCAGCCTAGCCAGAACAAATTAGTGAAACCTTGTCTTAAAAAGAGAGGATGTAGGGGCTGGAGTTTTAGCTCAGCGGCATAAGCGCCTGCCTTGCAAGCAGGCAGTCGTGAGTTCGATCCTCAGTACCAATAAAAAGAAAAAGACAAAAATAAAAAAAAAAGAGAGGATGTAGGTCTCAGTGCAAAGACCTGGGATTCAACTCTAGTAACAGGGAGAAAAAAATTAGAGATAGCCTGAAGCACTGAAGTTATTAACCAAACCCAGTTAATTTCATCACCTCTGGAACAAAGCAGAATGAAAGTCAAAGCTTGAGAATTCACTGTTCAAGAGGCAATTAATTAGTTCATTAAAGGGCTATTCCTATTGAGTTCATGGCATGATAAAGCACGTTGTGTTTTTTTGGGTTTTTTTTTGTCTTTTTTGTTTTTATCAGTACCGGGGATCGAATTCACAACTGCCTGCTTGCAAGGCAGGCGCTTATGCGGCTGAGCTAAATCCCCAGCCACTAAAGCACGTTTTAATTTAGTCAAATGTAATATATAATTCTTCCTACCTACATGTTTTTGTTTTTTTGGTACCAGGAATCAAACTCACACTTGTCCGGGAGATGCCCGCTGAGCCAAATCCCCGGCTCCTACCTACCAGTTTTTGACTTAAGCTAGCTTTCCAAAAAAAGTATATTTTTACCAAGGTAAAGGTCTAACGGTAATAAACCTCTGCGTTTTATTTTCTAAAATTATCCAAAGCATCAATTTTTGCACTTATTTCTCCAGATGTTATGCCAACAAGTTCTCATAAAAGTATTTGAAGCTCAATGTTCCCATTTAATGAAATCTCAGCCAGTCTAAATCATCTCCAACCTACCATCATCTTCCCAAGACACTTATGTTACTTGGAACTATTATTCTGCCTTGCCCAAACCCTCTAAAATAGCACTTACATTTTACTGACATTGTAGGCCTCTTCCATCTCATCTAAGTTCCTAGTGAACAAAGACTATTTTACTGATAGTCTTTGGCCTACCAGTTAGAACATCTGTGGTACCAAACAGAAGTATCTCACGTTGAATATGGGCCAACTCTCTTATCAGCTTTCATGATTTCTCTTTGAACACCGAATATCAGACTTTTTTCTCAAGGCTGTGAAAAATTTACTACAAATCTTAATGAAAAACACCTGAATTTTTGTTTGAAGCTAGTGCACTAGAAAAATGCATCTTAGTGAGAGCAATTACATCCTATGCAGATTATCATACTTTCCATACTTTGTCCTTAATAGCTATAGAAATACATAACTACACTCATCCAGCTTTTTAGTTTCTCTCACCAATAGACACTAGCTTTTATTGTAATTCACCTGCCTGCACAAATTTCTTACATCTTAAAAAAAAAAAAAAAAAAGGCTTAGATCGTTTCAAAAAAAGGTGGGAGTGGGGATAGATGTAGCTCACTGTGAAGGCCCTGGTTCAATTCTCAGTACCATCACAGCCAAAAAATAGGGGCAGAAACAGAACCTAATAAAGATACTGATGATAGGTTTATACCCTCTACCATCTCCATACTCATGTCTCCTATACTCAAAAGTCTTCACTGTTTACTCTGGTTCTGTCAGAGAAATAACAAAAAGCTCTATTACTTTAGTTTCTACTCTTGGTTCTTAAAAGCCAACCTAGTTTTCTGAGTTACATTGTTCATTTCAAATCTCTTTTGTGACTCAGTTCAAATTAGAAAATCATGAATTGCATCCATTTTATTCATTAGATAGCTGTTATATATTTCATAACCAGTTTAGAGTTACATACCACATCTCTAGCACAACAGATGCATAATATGCAATGTAATATAAAAATGTTTTCAATAATAGAATCATTCAAAGTTGATAAAACTTTTCTTTGTCATTTTTCTGAGACAGCACCTCTTGCTACGGAGAGGTCAGGCTGGCCCATCCTCAGCAGTTCTTCTACTTTGGCTTCCTGAGTGCTGGGACTAGAGGAATGTGTACCACCACAGTTGACAAATACTTTCAAAAACACCAAATCTAATTAATGTGGACTAAAGCCCATCATTAAGTAGCCAGTAACTTTTGTATTTCACTTTTGCATTTAGTACTTCATTTACATTATACTCTGTAGTTTATAATGTAGTGAATACAGAATAGTCGAAAACAGGCACCATAATAAGAGTTAGACAATAAAGGTAAGCTCAGAGTGACTTTTAATATGCCAATCAATGTTAATAAGACACAAGTCAAGCAGACAAGTGCAAACATGTTTTAAGCCAAAACTAAGACATTTTTTTTTTTTTGCAAAATATATTAGCCAGTATTATCAGTCATGGCTAATAACAGATAAAATATATTTTGAAAAACCTGCAACAGTCACAAGTCATTCTGGCATTTCAAACAGCTATGTACAGTATTACCAAGATCAGTTTATATACAAAAATAATGAAGAGAAATCAGGCAAAATATTTAAAAACAGACTAACCATACAATTAAGTACAAAACTTGGGAGGAAGGAGGAGACATTTTTAAAAAGTCAAGGACATTATCAGAAAATTACAAAACCAGTAATAATTATACTACATTAATACAGCATTCCAAATGGGAAGAGGTGCATTTTTTTCAATGTACTAGCTTCAAAGAGCTAAGAGAAAAAAAGGCAAACAGCTGCTTTTCAAGAGCAGCTATATATTACATAATTGTTTCAAAAGAAAGTCTATTAACAATGATGATTGTTTAATGCTACAATTTTACAGCAAAGACAAAACTAAAATAGCAGCAAATTCACAAGGCAATACTTCCACAGAATTATCATTCTATGGTTCATGCAATGCCTACAAAGTGCTCCCAGTTGGATATACAAGTACAATTCACAATTAAAAAAAAAATTCTAAAAATAAAAAACTCCAGAAATATATGATTGACACACAGGTGCATCAGAGGCTAAGTCTTTTAGCATTTCCCTTTTCTGAAGGGAGTATGTCTATAATAAAGCCCTTGAGTCCTTTATACAGGTCACTACAGGAAAAGACACTTTTTATTACAATGCAACAAACAATAACTGTAAGCAGCACACCACCACAGTGGTTAACCCTGCAAAGGCTTGGTGTAACATCCAACAGTGACTGACATCTTACAGAACATGGACTGCTAAGATTCGACAAAGCCTGATACAGCAACGGTCAAAATACAGCTTTCAACTGTAATTCACAAATAAAAACCCTAGAAGGTACTTCAGTAAAACTACTGAGACCAACCAAGAAATTGCAAAGTAGACTCTAGCAGTGATTTCAACCTAGCTTCCTCTTGTCACATTTTTTTGGGGGGAGGTGGGAAATGAGTTCAGTATATAGTAAGGCTGACAGAGCGGTTCATTTTCTTTCCAATAAGTCGAGAGGTTCTATTACTCTGGGTGGTAGATCTAGTGGCCATCCGGTCAGTGAACAGGGCTCTTTCCTCAGCCGCAGCTTTTGCCATTTGAGCTTTCTTGAGTTCTCTGAGAACATGAAAATAAGAAAGACTTTTAACTCTCTATATTAATCCTAGGAAGAAATTCTGAGGGGCCAAACACACAGTATATTATCAACTGGGAGATATTCACATTTCCATTATTATTCTAAGATACAACTGAGGAAACCAAAAATACAACCTGAAATTTTAGCTGCTAGTCAACTAAAATTTGTGTTTTATTCCATGCTTTTATTTAAAAAATTACATTCACATTAATACAAGGAGATAGTTAATAAAGGACATTAGTATAGGGTCAGCAGTATAATTCAGCGGCATAGCACTTCCCTGACAAGTAGGAGGTCCTGAGTTTGATTTCCATTACAAAAAAAAGTTAGGACAAGTAATGACTTTGGGTCTTAAAAAATAAATTTCATGACCTGACATGGTGGTGCAGGCAGAGGCTAAGGCAGGAGGATCACTGCGAGTTCGAGACCAGCCTGGGCTACAAAATGAGCTCAAGGCCAGCCTGAATGGCACAGCGAGACACACACACAATCATAGGGCCAGGCGGATAACTCAGCACCATAGTGCCTGCCTCCCAAGCTTAAGATTCTGAGTTCAATTCCCAGTACAAAAACCAAACAAATGAATCACAGAAAACTAACTTACAAAAGAAAAAAATCTAATTTACATAGGTGATAAAAAGAAAATGTGGGGGACTGGAGGTTTAGCTCAGCGGCAAAAGCACCTGCCTTGCAAGCAGGCAGTCATGAGTTTGATCCCCGGCACCGACAAAGACAAAAAAAAAAAAGTCCGTATTTTTATAAACTATTGGATTATCAAGCTAATAACATATAAACCTTTTATGGCTGGGGATATGACTCAGTGGCACCACACACCTCCCTGGCAAGTCTGAGGTTAAGAGTTTCATTCCCAGTAGCAAAAATAAATAAAATAAAATAAAATAATTTTATTAGCATAAAATTCTTGCAATTTAAACATTAAACCTGAATATTTAACATCAAACCTTCTGAAGTAATTTTTACGAGTAGGAAGTAAACCAATTAGAAATGTGTTGTGAATGACAAAATACTGATACTTTTCCCTTTTTCAAGAAACTTTTTTCTTTTTGGTGGTACTGAGAATTGAACCCAGGAAAATTACAACTTAGCTACAACCCAAGTCTTTTAAAACTCAGTTTCCATTCTGAGACAGTCTCGCTGACTTGCCTAGACAGACTTGAATTTATAATCCTCCTGTCTCTGCCTCCTTGGTGCTGCAATTAGAGGTGTGTGCCACCACACTTGGCTTAGTCTTAACATTTTACAAGTTTATAATTTCAAAGCTTAGTGACAGCACAGACTTAACAGTTCAAATATTAAGGCAAAAGTTCCTGAATTTTCATTGTGAAATAACACAAACAACCAAATCCTTTGTTGACAGAAAGCCTTTAAATTGTCTCATTAAAATTTGAGAATAAAAAAGTAAAAAAACAAAACAACCCTCACTTACTTTTGCAAAAGTGAATTTTTGAACTTTTCAGCATTCAATTCTATTCGTAATTGTTCAGCACTCTTTCTAGATGCAGACAACAATACTGAATGCTTTACCAGTGCCATTGCTGATGGTCTTCTCTCTGGATCTGGATGAATCATAACCTTAGAGAAGTAAAATTAAAGACATAATTTAGTAAAATAATGAACTGTGTCAATGAAGTGCTTTAGATATAAAATGCTCACTTTTAGCAACTCTGTAAATTCCTGGGAAAGCACTTGTGGAATCCGAGGTAATCTTCCCTGTCTGATTTCATGCCACTGCTCTCCATTTCTGGGAAGAGGTTCAGCACCAGCAGCACAAACTACCGTGAGGGCAAGGGCAAAAATATCCGCTTTTGGCAGATGGGTATAATTCTGAAAAAGATTTAAAAACCATTTTAAAGAGAGAATGTAAAAATGGTCAAAACAAGAATACAATTCGGGGCTGGGGAATTTAGCTCAGCGGCATAAGCACCCGCCCTGCAAGCAGGCGGTCGTGAGTTCGATCCTGGACACCAATTAAAACAAACAAAAATATATATAAATAAGAATACAATTCAATGATAATTTAGGTGAGAAATAGACTAAATTTAAACATTCAGTGTCACATTTAAATTAAGGATCTATTCAGACAACAAGCTGATGAATTTAGGGAGTTCTTTAACATTAACCCAGTTGAATCTTCTGAAAAAATTCCTATCCCTCTAGGGATTAGTATGCAAACACAAAACATTCCTGAGTGAGCTCACCAAATTACAAATACATATATATCTAAGAAAGCAGACATAGATGCCAGCAAAGAGTGCATATAATACTGTTTTTTCTTCATAATCTTTGAGACCATGTACCATAATTTAATCATACTGTTCCCATTTTGCTTGTATATTAGTATTTCTATAAGAGACACATAAAAGTGAAAATTCTGAGTAATAACTTTAAAATATTAATAGGTTCTGATACTTTGATTTCCAAATATGCTATTCAATTTTAAAATTCCACAAATATTTGGAACTGTTCTTGTTCTGTACAATGCCATTACAAATCTCTGCCTTCACTTTGTTAAACTGTAATCCTCACAGGTGATGGTTTAGAATTATGTCTACTAGTTATTAAATTATTAATATATTTGAATATATAGTTTATCAACTGATAAACAATACAGAGAATAAAGTAATACTCTTTCACAGTGGTCTGCTTGTACCCTAAGAAAAATCTATTACTAAAGAAGAACAATTACCTCCTGTAAAACTTCATTTGCAAGAAAACGACTATCACCCTCTTCGACTTGTGGACTAGAGATTCTTGTTACATGCCCAAGATCACCTAAAAGTATTGAAAAAGCATACAGTCAAGAATTAAAACCTGGGGCTGGGGATTTAGTTCAGCGGCATAAGCGCCTGCCTTGCAAGCAGGCAGTCGTGAGTTCGATCCCTGGTACCAATAAAAACGAAAAAGACAAAAAAAAAAAAAAAGAATTAAAACCTACTGGCGTGGTGGTACACACCTGTAATCCCAGTGCTCAGGGAGGCTAAGGCAGGAGAATTACGAGTTGAAGGCCAGCTTGGGCTACAAAGTGAGTTAGTTCAAGGCCAGCCTGAACTGCACAGGGAAACAAACCATCTCAAAGAGGGGGGAAAAATTAAAACCAGGTAATTATGGCTTTCCTCATGATAGTCTACCCTGTTTTCTTCAGGGTGTTCATTTATCTTGCTTTCTCCTCTTTTACTTTGCCCAAGCTCACTCTGCAGAGCCAGTTTCAACCTACTCTTCATTTTTACTTTTTCAGATAAATTAGGCCAGGGATAGCTCAATGGCACAGTGCTTTCTTGGTAAGGTCATGAGTTTGATTCCTGGTTACTGTCCCCAAAAACTTTTGCCACTGCTAAAAACACAGAATGAAAACCAAAGCGGGGTGTGGTGGCATATGCCTATATGCCCATTACATGGGAGTGTGAGGGAGGAGGATTACTGCAAGTTTAAGGCCTGCCTGGGCTACATAATGAGTTCAAGACCAGCCAGAATGGGAAACTGTCTCAAAAAACAACAGTAACAAAAAAGAATTAAAACCAGCCAAGTATGGCAGCATAAACATGTAGCTCCCAACATTTTGGTTGACTGACATAGAGGATTCTAACCTGGGCAACTTAGTGAGATCCAATCTCCAAATAAAAAATTTTAAAAAGATTTCTTTTAAATTAAAAGAATTTTGAAAAAAGCTAAGAGCAGGCCAGGTATTTAGCTCAGCAGCGTAAGGACCTGCCTGGCAAGCTAAGGTTATGAGTACAATCCCTGGTACCAAAAAAGAAAAAAAAAGCAGCTAGGAGCTAGGACATAGCTCAGTGGTAGTGGCTGTGGGTTCATTCCCCAGTACTACAAAAAGAAAACAGAAACAAAGGTTTGGAACGTAGATCAGTAGCAGAACACTTGCCTAGCATGCATGAGGCCTGGGGTTCAATCTTCCAGCACCAAATTAATCAATCTTTCTTGATTTTAATCTAACATTCTAGTTATCTTTTCTTCTTCTTTTTTACCTTTCTCTCTTACCTATTTTAAACATAACTCTGTTGGATACCCAGTCATCCTCATCTCCTTCTTCAGAGGCAGCATTCGGGATGGAAGTTCGAGATATGAAAATATTACCTGTTAAATAGTTAAATTACATAAGCCTAACTATTAACAGTATTAACTAATTTACAAAGTCAAACATCAAAATCATTCAGAAAGTCTTTCTAAATACAATGTCTCATGTTTTACCTTGAACTCAAAGAATGTCAGGCAATAAGGACTAGGTTATATTTCCTGAGAATATATTCTCTATATATTTAACAAGTTATTAATTTACAAATAAAAAAATCTACACAATTCAGAATTAACAATATTAAACAAATTCCCATAAATCAAAACCTAACTCCAAAACAACAACAAAAAATCCTATGAAATTTAACTTAAAGCTATCAATCCTTAGTTACTAACTGCAGGAATTATAATACAGAAGGAATAAGCCAGATGATACAACAAAATAACAAAAAAGTCAGAATAAAAGACATCTTGATTTTTTCATTTTGTTTTTGTTCTCTGTACTGGGAATCAAACTCAGAACCCTGCACTTTCCAGGCAGGTGCTTGTACCACTGAGCTATATCCTCAGCCCTGAAAAAACATCTTGTAAGACAAGTCTGTATCATTTTTCGTACATGTTGTGGCACATGGCTGTACTCCCAGCACTATGGGAGGCTGAAGAAAACCAGGCAATTAAGAGACCTGGCAAGATGAGGTCCCTGAATTTAGAAAACAAATAGAAACTTAAAATGACAACAGGTATGGTGGCATATACCTGTAATCCCAGCACATAGGAAGCTCAAGAAGCTGGAGATTAGCCTGCAAGATCAAGGTCAGCCTAGGCTACATAGTGAGTTCCAGGAGAGGCTGAATTACAATGCAAGATTGTGTTTCCACAAAATTAAAAGAAATTTTAAAAATGATCTGGAGATAACTCAGTGTAAAGGGTTCAATCTCTAGTAACACACACACACACACACACACACACACACACACACACACGAGTAAAACCTACTAAAAAATGGACCTAACCAGACGCAACTGGTCTCAACAAATCAACTATTAAAGACACATGGGGCTGGGGATTTAGTTATGGACTCAACAAATCAACTATTAAAGACACATGGGGCTGGGGATTTAGCTCAGCGGCATAAGCGCCTGCCTTGTAAAGCAGGCAGTCGTGAGTTCGATCCCCGGTATCGATAAAAAGGAAAAAGAAAAAAAAAAAAAAAAAGACACATGTCTGTCATCTAAGCACTTGGGAGGCTGTGGCATTTGAGTTTGAGGCCAGCCTGGGCTACATACTAAGTTTAAGACCAGCCTGATCTACAAAGTGAGACCTTATTGCAAAAAAGAACAACAAAACAAAACAAAAAAACAATGAAATAAAGTTTAGAAAAAGAAAGATCCCAATAAGAGAAATTTTAAATACGGCCTAGTTTAATAGAGGTTTGTAGTTCAAGAGTCCTTTAAAAAAAAAAAAAAAAAAAAAAAAAAGAGTCCTACTTTAAGAACTATTAAAAAAAAAAAAAGAACACTATTCAGTTGCTATAAAATACAGCCAAAAATTCCCAGCTTTTATTATGTCAGATTTCAGGGCAAACAGACAAATGGAAGGCATAAAACAAGACTGGTAAGTGGGTCAAAGACTTCAAAACAGTGAAAAAACATACTTTTGTTAAAATGAAATGACTTATTCTCTATAACCCCAAAGAACATAGGTCAGAGGATTTATACTTACTAGGTTTTATATCCATGTGAACCAAAGACATTGAATGAATATATCTTAAACCCCGACCAACTTGTAAAAGGAGATCCTTCAAATCCACTTCTTTAAAGTAACTCATGATTCTGTAGTTTTCACTTATAGCATCAGCTAAACTTCCACCTAACAAACACAGCAAAAATTAATTTTGTTTCTGGAATAGTTTCTCTTTCTTCCCTCTTTATTGAATGATCTTCATCTCAACAAAAAAAAAAGTAACAATTTACAGAACTCTTTCAACCTGTTTGTGAAATCAAATATTCATTTATTTTCTTAATATACACTCATAAGGATAAAAATACAATTTTAAAATCTCTCTCACCCTTAAACTCCAACAACTTACCTGTGCACTTCCCCAGTATTATCAGTTTCTTATGTGTTTGGAGTCAGGGGTGGAAAGGATGGGATGTCCGGGTCATACTGAAGACTGAATCCCAAAGGGCTTTACATGGAGCTACATCACAAGCTTTTTTTCCCTTTAAGACAGGATTTCACTAAGTCACTTGCTCAGCCTAAGCTCAAACCTTTAATCCTTCTGCCTCAGTCTTGTAGACTGCTGGCATTATAGACAGTATATGCTCTTCTGTTGCTTTTGGAAATAGTCTTGCTATGTAGGCTAGCTGGCCTCAAACCTGTGTTCCACCTGTCTCAGCCTCCCAAGTGCTGGGATTACACATGTGTACCACCACATTCATCCTTCCTGTGTATTCTTTTCAATGACACTTTTTTTTGGTCTTTTTCCTTTTTATCGGTACGGGGGATCGAACTCACGACTGCCTGCTTGCAAGGCAGGCACTTATGCCGCTGAGCTAAACCTCCAGCCCCAACATTTTTTTTTTTTAGTCTCACTATGTAGCTCAACCTGGCCTTGAACTTGCTATGTAGCCCAGGTTAGTCTCAAAAAAATTTTTTTTCCTTGAGACAGGGTCTTCCTATGTAGTTCGGGCTGGCCTTAAACTCACTTAAGATAGCCCAGGCTAGCCTTGAACTGATGGCAATCCTCCTGCCCCAGCCTCCCAGGAGTGCTGAGATTACAGGCGTGCACTACCATACCCAGCTCAATAACTAAGGCTATGATTAGGATGTGAAATGTCCCCCCAAACACTTACTGTTCTATTACGTGCTGTCCAGAGGTAGGGCTTTTGGAAGGTGTCTGGATCAAGAGGACTCTAAATGATTCCTAATCTGATGGCATATTGAGTCTTATGGCCATACTATCCCCAAAACGCCCAATCTTGTCTGACAGCATATTGAAAGGGATGAAAACCTGGGAGGTGAGCATTAGTTGAAGGGCACAGCTAATGGGAGTATGACCTTTGGGACTGTATCTTGCCCCTCCCAAAAGGCCTACCTCTAAAATGGTCCATTTTTCTCTGGCTCTCTCTGCTCGCTGGCCATTTGACTTTTTGCTTGTTGTGAAACAAGTCTTACTACGTACCCTGGAATGGCCTTAAACTCTAGGAAGCTGTCCTGCCTCTGATGTGCTGAATTACAGGTTTGAGTCACCATATCCAGCTTGCTTGCTTATTTATTTATTTAGTCTTCTTTGAGACAGGGTCTTGCTATGCAGTTAACTCACTTTGTAGCCCAGACTGGTCTTGAACTAACAAGGATCCTTCTGCTTCAACCTCCGGAGTTTTGGGATCAAAGGTGTGTGCCACCACACCAGCTATCACACCCAGCATGGTGGTGGTACACACCTCTAATTCCTGCATGAGATGTTAAAGCAAAAGGATCACCACAAATTCAAGGCCAGCCTGGGCCACACAATTCATCCACTAAGTCTGAAATACACAAAAAACAGCCAGATGTGGTGGGACATGCCTGTGATCCCAGCACTTGGGAGACTGAAGCAGGAGGACTGCCCCTTCCCGATTTGAACTACAAAGGAAGACCCTGTAGTTTACATCAGAAAAGACAAACCAAACTCTGCTCTGACATGTCCTCTGCCACAAAGTACTTACTCCCTTACCACAGGCCCAGAAACACTATGCCCAAGCAACCATGAACTGAAATTTCTGATACCATGAGCCAAAATAAATCTCTCCTTTAAACTGCTTTCCTCAGGTATTTTATTATAGCAGTGGAAAGCTGACTAACATTAATAGCATTATGTTCACTATCTTAAAAGTATTATTAGGGGGCTGGGGATTTAGCTCAGCGGCATAAGCGCCTGCTTTACAAGCAGGCAGTCATGAGTTCGATCCCTGGTACCAGTAAAAAGAAAGAAGACAAAAAAAAAAAAAAAAAAGCATTATTGTATACCAAAATACAAAGAAAAATTTCAACCAACAAAAATTCCTGTGTTTAAGGAATGGTAATGTACTAACCACCCTCAATTAATGAACATTTAAATTTTATTTCTAAGTCTATTTTTTTTTCTTTCTTGTTTCTATCAGTACCAGGGATAGAACTCACGACTGCCTGCTTGCAAGCAGGCACTTATGCCACTGAGATCCCCGCCCCCCCCCCCTTTTTTTGATTTTTCAAGGTCCTTTTTTTTTTCTTTTATGACAGACTCTCACTTTTGCAGTGTAGGCTAGCCTTAACTATGTAACCCAGTCTGGCCTCAAATTCCTGGCAATCCTCCTGCCTCATTCTTCTAAGTGCTGGGATTACAGGCATGCACAGCCATGCCCAGCTCCTTCCAAATTTTTGTTGTTGCATTACATGGCCTGACAGATATCATTAGTTACTTCTCTAGCACCGAGTATCTGTTCGAACCAAAGTTGCTACGTAAAAGAGAATTTTCATTTGCAATGTATGTATATCCTAAAACACATGTGCATTATCCCCCACGTAAGTCTATTATCAACATGAAAGAATCTTTCCCTATACCCTTCATAATGGTCTACGTTTTTTTTCTTTTTTTATACAGTCTGGCTTTATAGCTCAAACTGCCATTGAACTCTTGGCAATCCTCTTGCCTCAGTCTCCTAAGTGCTGAGATAACAAGTCTGCACCACTATGACTGACTTGGTTTACAAATTCTATAGTCAAAACCAGTATTTTAGTACAGTTTTAATTTATACTACACTATATATAAGAATATTAACCTTTTTACTAGGGATATGGCTTAGTGGAAGAGCATTTGGCTGGTATGCATTAAAACCCTGGGTTCAATTTCCATCAGAAAGGACAAGCAATCAGAACCAATCATAAGTTCATACTCTGTATCAAAAGAAATGAGTTGTTTAAAAAAAATCTTGGGGGCTGGGAATTTAGTTTAGTGATGTAATCACCTGCCTGACAAACGCAAGGTCATGAGTTTGATCCCTGACACCAAAAAAAAAAAATTGGGTGGTTGGGGGAAGGATATCTGTCTAAAGCTTAGTATCAAGATCAGAAAAAAAAAAAAAAAGAGAGAAAGAAAAGAAAAAAAAAAAATCAGAGCCAGGATAGTAATATCAGGAAGGTCAGTGAATATGAAGAAAGAAGTCTTACAATTTGAATAAGACTAAATAATAAGCCAAGTATATGGTACAGCATGACTATAATCCCAGCACTGGGACAGCTGAGGGAGAAGGACTGCTGAGGAATTTAAGACTAGCCTGGACTACAAAGTGAACTCAAGGCCAACCTGGGGGGAAAAAAAAAGACTAAATAATAAAATACACACACAAAAAAAATAAATAAATAAAAAATAAAATAAAATACACAGTTTTAAAAATTAAAAACCAAGAGCTGGACGGCCTGGGGTTTAGCTCAGCAGCACAATGTAAGGTTATAAAGGTTATAAATTCAATCCATAATACAAAAAAAAAAAAAAAAACAGGGCCTGGGAGTATACTGACATAAGATGAGAAAACAAAGACACTAAAAGATGACAAACAATGAATAAAGACATATGGTCAAACTGTTCTAAATTAAATCCACTAACTAAAAAGGATGAAGACAGAACAGTCTACAAGATCACGGGAGACAGCATTTTGATGCTAGATTAGAAACATTTCAAGAACCGTAAAGCAAACTAGCAGTAATGCCGTACACTCATCACTCGAAGTATTTTCAAGTGTATTGAACTAATAGCATAATGAGTTTAAAGATGAGAAATGGATCCTTTATTTTTGTTTTATCCTTTATAAATATGGAGAACCTGAATACCCTATCTATAGTTTTATTGAGAAGCTATGAGGTTGCTATAATATTTAAAAATAATAAACCCATGTTATTTTCAGTGTTTACTAAACTCTAAATTCTCTAATAGTCATAGAAATAACCAAACAAAACAATTACAAATACTCAGGAGGCTAAAGCAAGAGCATCACAAGTTTAAGGCAACCCAGTTGGCAAGTTTGCCAGACTGTCTCCAAGTAAAATTTATTAAGAGCTGGCATGATTTTTTTTTTTTTTTTTTTGCTTTTTGAAATAGGATCTTGCGATGCAGTTCAGGCTGGCCTTGGGCTCATTTTGTAGCCCAGGCTGGTCCCAAACTTGCAAGGATCCTACTGCCTTAGCCCCTCAAGTGCTGTAATTACAGGAGTGTGCCACCAAGCCCAGGCAGGGCTGGCAGGACTCTTAGTCTTGACTATTTTGATTAGCGTGCACAAGGCCCTGACCTTAATACTCAGTACTGCCCGAAGAAAAAGAAAGAAAGGTTAAGTCAGGCTTCTTTTCCACTTTTGCCTTTCACTATGGAATGATGTATCATGAAGATCCTAACCAGATGCTAATATGCTCTTAGAATTTGTAGTCTCCAAAACTGTGAGCCAAATAAATATCTGTTCATTATAAATTAGTCAATCTGAGACACTACCGTATAGCAACAGAAAACAGAATTAAAATATGGTGGGGTTTTTTTTTGGCTTATTTGTTTCTTGAAAAAGGGTCAAGTTATGTAGTTTAGGCTGGCCAAGAACTCAGTAATCTTCCTACCTCAGCTTCCCAAATGCTAGGATTACAGTCATGAGCCACATCTGACTGATTCAGACAACCGTAACTATTATGCACCTCATATATTATGCTAGGCGTTAGGGACACCAGAATGTACATAGCAGGGCCACCATGCTCTAAGGAAGCTCGGTATAATTTGAGTAACAGGCACATAAAGAGTATACAAAATTCTACCACTAAGCTATGTATTAGGTGCTTCAGAAGACACAAAGACTTAAAACATCTGCACTTAGAATTCATGCCAGGTGTCTGATCTCTAAATTTCTAAGAGGAGACAGAGCCAGAGAGACATGCACATTAGCAGATAAAGAAAGAAGAGACAACCAAAAAATTTGAGATAATGTCACTTTGTTGCTCATTTTCTGAGTCTCACAAGTTTATATACACTGTATTACTCACCATTACAATACTCATTCTGTATAAGCATATGATCATCTTCTGCCCAGGCAGAGAAATAGCGAACCACATGAGAATGCTGTCCAAGCACTGCATGAGCATATACCTCTCTCAAAGCATTCTGCCTAAGGAAAATGAGATTAATATAATGATAAATCATTTTTATTCAAGAACAAACTGAATTGCCAAGCATGATAGCACACGCCTGTAATCCTAGCACTAGGGGAACCGGAGACAGAAGGATCACTGAGAGTTCTGGATTATAGGCTGGGTTACAAAATGAGTTTAAGAGCAGCCCAGAATACACAGCCAGTAAGACAGCGTTTCAAAGCAAGACTTTCCAGGCACCACACCTGTAATACCACCACTCAGGAGGGTAGAGGCAGGAAGAACACCTTGAATTCCAGGTAGGCATGGGTTACACATTAAGTTCAAACTGCAATGAGACCCTGACTCAAAAAAACTAAATGAACAAAAATGGTCAAGAGGAAGAAAACTTACTGGCCCAAGGACTCAGGAAAAATTAAACTGTTTTTTCCTGTAAATTCACAGATCCTGACCAGAATTTTAGGTTAGGCTCTAAGATCAAACTTCACATTCATATTACTTATCAAATCTAATTTTTAAAAAACCATTAACATCTCAATAAAAATTTAAATCCAGTATGATCAGCTAAAAGCTTAATGTTTATAACACCATTAGGAACCAAAAAATGACAAAAATGTTTAATACATACTCATCAACAGAACCAGCCAATGGCTTTTTTGATCGCTTAATGGCATAAATGCATCCATCCAGCCTCTTCACACACTTAAATACAGAACCAAATTCCCCAGAGCCAATTTTCTCCAGTTCATGAAATTCTGTCGTATATCTTGACTTCATATTGCTTTCAGTAATTGTAATTCTCTGTAATGAAAGAGAATCCATATATAATACAAAGACAGGAACATGATTTTTGCTACAGTAATGCTCTGCATAACATTTTAAAGTCCTTGTACCTTATATGACAGGACACATATTAGAATGTTAGGAGGTAGAAAACGAAACTTCAGGCATAGAAAAACAAAAACTATTTACCTTAGCAGGTCTTGTTTCATCTTCAAACTCATAATCACTGACTTCCATGTCTTCACAGGAACTGAAAAAAATAGTACATATTTTTTCATCAATATATCTAACATGAACAAACTTCAGATCCAAAAGTATCTGTTAAGCCTGAATTTCAATGAATGAAATTTTAATAGAAAAAAGCAAAAGCAAACCGGGCATGGTGGTGCACACCTGTAATGCCAGCACCTGAGAGGCTGAGGCAGAAATGTTGCAAGTTCAAGACCAGCATGGGCTACAAAGTAAGCTCAAGGTCAGCCTGAACTGCAAAGGGAGACCCTGTCTCAAAAGTATACAAAAAGAAATAAAAGATATAGCATTTAATTTTGCAATCAAAGATTCAATCCAGTTGATGAAAAAGTTCTGTTAAACAAATTAAAGCCTTACTAAACAACCTGCTTGTCTCATTTTTGACACCAAATTTCCTAGGATCTAGATTTTTATTCCTTCCTTTCACACACTACTTTCCTACTGCTTACTTCCCACCTATCTCCTGAGAAATAAAGAGAAAAAATTTCAGAGTACAGACTATACCATTCAGTAGAAACTCAATTTTGTTAAATATACCAAACTAATCATAGGCTATGGGGGGACGAAACTATTAATACATAACTTACTCATTCCAGTATGCTCTCTTTCTCCCTCGACATTGTCCTGAGGAATGAAGCAACACAGAATCCGGGGTAAAAGGATTGATATTCACTTGTGGAGTCTGTCGTATGTCATACTCTCTTTTTCCTGATTTTTCTGAGTCCATGAAAAGAGAACCACGAAGTTTAACAGAGCTGGAATCAATTCCTCGAGCTTTGGAAAGCAAACTCTAAAAAAAGGAAAAATAAAATTTTTAGGAACCAGATCCTGCCCGGAGAGAGTCAGCCTTCTCCATCTAACCTTTAGCAGTCCTTTAAAGTGGCTGAATGCGCACATCAAAGCAACATAAGGGCTGGGTACTAACTTAGTGACAGAGCCACCACCTAGCAAGGGGGAGGTCCTATGCAGAATCCAAAAAACCGCAAATCCAGCACACAATCCTTTGTTATATTTCACACAAAATAGAATGGCTAATGTAGAAAGCAGAAGCTGGATACTACCTTTGTGAAAAAGGTAGCTAAGTAGTCCTCTAGTCCTAAAATGAACATTTATGCTAAAACTAAGCTCTTCTGAAAATAGTAAACAGTCCCACAAAAGTCCCCCTTCCCTCCTTCTAAACAGGGCTTTGAAAACCACCACTGCAGGACTCTTCCCCTGGCTCGCAGGAGGCTTGCCTTGGGCAAGTCTGCTAATAAACAGCAAGGCTGCAAAGCACAACGCCCTGATGCTGTGACTAACGCTGAAATCACCAGGATCTCGCCTTTCCCACATTAACCTCGGGAAGTGTCCACGTTTAATGGGCTGTGGCTTCTCAAAGCTTTAGGAGCGGAGATCTGTACACTCGCTGACCATTTCCACACACAGGTGCTCAATATCTACTTCTTTAAGACAAAACAGCACGATGTTCCTAATCTTTCACGTAGCCAACCAAACCTGGGCTCTGCAAACCTGCTGGCAGGAACAGTCGTAGACCCGACATTTCGTCCCAAGGTGACTTGGATACGCGAAGTTACTCCTAGGTCTCTCGGGTTCTACGTGCTGGAAAGCCAGCTCGGCCTCTCCCTCCACACCACTTTTCCAACAGAGGCCACAGAACCCGAATCGGCGAGCGCAGGGGAATTTTTTATTATGACTTTTTTTTTTTTAACCAAACACCTTCTGCACCAGGCCGCCCAAATTACAGGCCCGATCGCTGCATCTCAAAGGTACCTTCTGGCCAGGGAGTAACAAGTAGCGAGGCCGCCCGGCGCCAGCATCCGCGCCCAGAGCCTCACTCGGGGGCACCGACGTTCCTGGGCGCGGCACCCCGCCACCTGGATAACGCGGGCCACCCCTTTGTAAGGCAAAGACGTTCCGGACTAGGCCATTGTTCGGTTACATAATCTTAACGGACGCCCGCTGGGCAGAGCTAGGAAAGGGGGGGCGCTCAGGCTCACCTTGGGCGTGTGCGGGGTGTCGAAGAGCCTCAGCTTGCGAAAGGTCTTGTGCGGCGGGGTGCCCGGCTGCTCCGGCCGCGGAGAGCCGGGCCCCTCGCCCCCCAGCCCGCCGCTGCGCAGCGGGGAGAAAGCGCTGCCCAGGAAGTAGGCGGCGGCCGGCGACTTGACCGGCGACGACGAACCGAAACCCTCCTCCTCCCACGAGTCGCCCTCGGCGCCACCGCCCGCCGCATCCCTGTCGGCGCCGGGGCTGGCGCCCTCCAGCAGCATGTCCTCCTCCTCCAGTTCCCCAGGGCTGCCAGGCGCCTGGCCGGGCGAGCGGCGGCTCTCGGGCCCGGGGTCCGTGGGACTCTGCGCTGGCGGCAGCGGCGAGTCGGGCTCCTGGAAGGCCGAGTCCTCGCCAGTGCTGTGGCCGCTGCCCTCCTCCTCCTCCTCCTCTTCCTCCTCCTCCTCTTCTTCCTCTTCCTCACAGTCGCTGCACGGCGAGAAGATCAGCTTCTGCCGCAAGCTGCAGGCGGCCCTCGCGCGACGGGAAGGCGGCGGCTGCTGCCGGCTGAGGAAGCTCATGTTGGAGCCGGAGCCGGAGCCGGAGGCACGGCCGAGCGGCTAGCAGGGACGGCCAGCAGAGTCCCGGACGCGGCCGGCCCAGGGGGCGGGTCCGCCACGTGCGGCTAGGCGCGCCGGGCTGTAAGGCTCCGGGCCTGCGCAGGAGAGGCGGCGGCGGCGGCGACTCGGGAAACGCGCCGGGCTGCAGGACACCGCGGCGGCAGCGGCGGCACGCACTGTCCCGCACAAGCTGGACGGTACAGGAGCCGAGGCTGGGGGCTCTCGAGGTCCAGCCGCAAGTTCGGGCTCCGCGGCTTCCCGCGACCGTTAACCACGTGAGGACGCAGCCCACCAATCCCCGCCCAGCTCGGGGTTTGAAAAAAAAAGAGGGCGCGACGTACCCCGCGGAGGCGGGACCGGCTACGCGATTTTGGCGCGAAACTGCCGGCTCCGCCCTCTGCTCGGCGCACCGCCCAGCTGGGGTCGGGGGCGGTGCCGCGGGCGGGAGGCTGATTTTGGCTGCTTGGCCGCAGCCCTGGGGGTGGGAGCGGGCTCGGTTTAGCCTGTTCAGCAGAGAACGACTCCTCACCGTTCCACTGGCCTCCTGGCGTCTAAAACGGAGCGGACAGCCGGGTAGCGCCTCTGCGTCCTTGCGAGCCGGAAGCTGCCGGGGACCGCGTGGCTCCCAAGCGACGTCGCAGCAGCCTCCCCCAGCCGGGCGGCCCTGGGGCGCCGTGGGCATGGCGGCGCGGTCACGTTCCAGAGTTGAGATTGGGGCGCGCAATGCTGACCCTGCCTCAGAACCCTTGCGAGATCTCGGTTACCTCCCGTGGTGACTCCACGGCAGGCGTTCCGGTCCCCAGGCATGCCTTCTCAAGCCCTTGTTGCCTTCTGCATCATGTTGAACAGAAGCAGTACCAGAACCAAGTGCCCACCTCGCCACCCCTGTGTTTGCCAGCATGCAGCAAAATCCACTGGCCTTTTGCAAAAAGCACCTTTGGCGGGGGTCGGGGGCGGGCCTGCCGTGTCAAACCGTGTTGGAATCATCTGTTACACATTCAAATTTCCACCCATTTTTCTGTTATAAATAACTCTGCGATGTATATTCTTGTTTTTTTGTATTCCTTAGGAAAACTTATTGCAGAAGTACCTGGTCGAAGGATTTAAAGTGCCTAACTCCTCTAGAAAGAAATTGCATTCTCTAATTTGCATTAGGTTTGAACACATTTGTGAATTCTGGATGTCAGAGAGTATGTATTTCATGTTTATTAATATGGGTTTGTTTGCTTTATTGTTTTGTGCCAGGAATCGACTTCAGGACCTTGCTGTGGATTTGGTTTGATTCCATTACTGGACTGGGTAGTCATGAGTTTAATAGCCATTTACATTTCTGTTTCCTTTATGGTAGTATTTTGTGCTTAGTGCTGACACTTTTCCAAGGCTAAAGTCAAGCCCAATTTTTTAAATAAAAAACATAACATGGTATTTAACACCACGTGGAGAATTTCCTTACATCACAATTGATAATACAGTGAAGGGTTAGACATTCACTAACTGATGTAAAAACATGTTTGTTTTGTTTTTTGTCTCAGGGTCTCACTATGTAGTTCAGGCTGGCCTTGAGCTCACTTTGTAGCCCAGGCTGGTCTCGAACTTGCAACAATCCTCCTGCCTCATCCTCCAGAGTGCTGGGATTACAGGCATGCGCCACTATATGTTGGCTTGTGGTTTTTGTTTTTGTTTTTGTCTTTTTTGAGATGGGGTCTCGCTATGCAGTTCAGGCTGGCCTTGAGCTCACTTTGTAGCCCAGGCTGGTCTTGAACTCACAAGGATCCTCTCACCTCAGCCTCCTGAGTGCTGGGATTACAAGCCTGAGCCACCACTCCAGGCTGTGTGGCTTGTGTTTCTTGGTTTTTTTTTTTGTGTGTGTGTGTGTGTGGCTGTTTTGTTTTGTATGGGGACCCAGATTGAAGACTGCTAAATTTCAAAGGACCAAAACTCTACATATGGACAGTTAAGGAGAGGCTTTCTCTGACCCCAGTTGCCAAAGCCAAGGAGTGGTTGCTAGCATCCTCCTGCTAACACCTCTCCTGTCATGTCTCATGACAAAATTCTTTAATACGGACAGTTAACATTTTCTCAATTTTATGTGAATAAATAACCTTTAAAAATTGTTGGGTTTTTATTTATCCATAACATGAGTTATACACAAAGTATGACTTGTAGGTAAATGAGTCCCTTAGATTCCTGGCTCCGGCTCAACTTTTGTTACCGTTCCCTTTCTATAAGGATTCTACTTACTCCAATGTTAACCATGCAATTACACCACCCCCATGCATACAACAGGGTCACTCTTTCACAACATCCTGCTTTATTGCCTTAACCAGGTTATAGCGGTCTCAATGTTACTTCTTACTATCCCTTTCTAGAAAAAATTAGGTAGGGCATTCTGGATAGGAACTTAGTTCTCTATTTTGTTTATTGCAGTGTTTTGATAATAGCTTAGGTGTTTACTATCTTGTGACTGATTTAAAAAAAAAAAAACTTACTTAAAATGTTTGATGAAGGCCGGATGTGGTAGCATACACTTGTTATAATTCCAACATTTTGCATAGCTTTGGAAACCCTGTCTCAAAAAGACCAAAAAAAAAAAAAAAAAAAAAGTAGCTTCTGGGATAATTCTAGGAAAATCCAGCCATCTTTAAAACAGAAATACAAAAGAAATCAAAAACCTAGGCCCTGCCTCTTCCAACTAAGCATATGGCAGGCATGATGTTACAGCATCATCCTTAACCTAACCGAAACCCAAAATGACTGTTCTGATTTTTTAAACTTCATGCTCCACTGAGAACAGTACACACTGTACTGGAAAGAAGAATCACACCCACTCGCCCCAGGACAGACTTCTGGCTCCTTTCCACACCCAACATTTGTCATGTTGCTAAGCAATTTTGCAGACTCCACATGCTTCTGGTACTTGCTGTAATAACTGAGTAAAAATCTTGCTTCTGGTTATGGTGAGAACAAACTTAACCTGTTTGTCCTCTTGGACCCATGGACATGGTAAGTACGGTAAAAGCCTTTAATGTTATTGTCAGCCAGTTCACCTTCCTTGGCTACAGTGTAAACAAGATTCTTGCCCTAAAGATTTACAAACCAGATTCCTAAATCACCTGGTATACATAACATGGATATGTGTGCATATTCCTGTCTACGCAGGCTTTGCTGTCCGAATGAAATCCTTCAAAACTAAGAACTGAGGTTTCTTTGTGATATATATACAATCTGTAGGAATGTCTCATAAGTCTAGTGGGTCTTTACCCACAGCCAAATTTTTCCTAGTTTTTGCTTTTGATCTGAAGGAGTAATCAGTTCATCTCTAAAGGATCTAGTCTACTAGATTTGGGGGGGTGGGGTGCTAGGAATTGGACTCATGACCTCACACTCCCAGGCAAGTGCTATGCCACTGAGCTATGTCCTCGGCCCAGTTAATATGCTACAAAAGTTCCATTATTAGCTGGGCATGGTGGTGCATGCCTGTAATCCCAGCACTGAGGAGGCGGAGGCAGGAAGATCACTGCAAGACCAGCCTGGGGTAGTGAGTTGGCAGCTAGCCTGAATCACAGAGGGAGACACTGTCTCAAAAGAAGTTACAAGAAAAGTTCAACCATCTTTCTGCATCTTTCTTATTATCACTACTTTTCCCCTTCTGCTTGTTCTTTCAACAAACCTGAATTTATATTAACCCTCCAACTGTAACCAACTGCCAGCTGGCCCCAGGAATCTTAAGTCTCAGAGTAGAACAGGTAAACTAGCAATGCTTCTGTTTGACTTCTCAGGTATAATGTCACTTGTCTCAATACCCCCTGATGGATGCAGTTGTCTGAGCATTTTGTCACCTGTTGACCAGCTTATGCTGTGAATACAGTGTAAACAAATCCAATTCTTCCTTAGTTCAGCATGTTAGGTGTGAAACCAGTTTCCTCTCACAGATAGTGTTCAATAAATAATAGTGTGTTTTGATTTGGCACTGTTGTTTAAGACTAATCTGTACTTTGCTGTTTTTGTTTTTGTTTTGAGACAAAGTCTTGCTTTCAAGCTGGCCTTGAACTCACTACTGTAGTCCAGGCAAACCTCAGACTTGTTCATGGTTTTAAAGTCAGTAAATACATTTGGCTTCTAATGGTCTCAAAGTAAGTTTCCTTAAGTGGATAGATAGTTCACTTGTACACAATCTGCTAACATACTCAAATTACAGCAGTGCTGGGCACAGTGACATACACCTATAATCCCAACATTCCGGGAGACTGAGATAGGAGGATGGCAAGTTCAAACCCAGCCTGGACAGCTTAGTCACTAAATGAGCTCCTATTCCAAAATTAAAAAAAAAAAAAAAAAAAAAAAGGCGGGGATCTGGAAATGCAGCTTACTTTGAAGACCGTGGGTTCAGTCTCCAGCACAAATCAATCAATTACAGCCAGACAGTGATACATGCCTGTAATCCCAGCACTCTGCAGGTGGATTGTTGCAATTTTGAGGCCATCTTGGGCTACAAATTGAGCTCAAGTCCAGCCTGAACTGCATAGCAAAAAGAACCCCCCCCCCAAAAGCAGTCAGTCAGGGCTGGGCATGGTAGCACATCACTGTAATCCTAGCACTCCAAAGGCTGAGGCAGGAGGATTCTGGCAAATTCAAGACTAACCTAAACTACAAAGTGAGACCCTAAAACCAAGAAATAAAAACAAACCAAGAAATTTAAAAAATCAGAAAAAAAAAAATCAGAGCAGGGATAGTATCAGTTGTATAAGCACTTGAGAAACATAGATTCTATACAAAAACTTTGGGTATCTATGATTCTCATTCTGTTTTGGATCCTAAGCTAAGAGAGATCATGCTAATATGTTTAAAAGTTATGTTTAGGGCTTCGAATGCAGCTCAGTAGTAGAGTATTTCCCTGGGTTCCATCTCCATCTCCATTTCCAGCAACACACACACACACACACACACACACACACACACACACACACCAGGCCATACA